TTATTAAGGCAAAGACAAATATATATTTCGTAATTCCTAGCCATTAGAAAATGCTTGCTAAATTATTTATTTTGATATTTTACATGAGTATTTATTATTAAATTTTATCTTCGCTCTTGAGTGGTTTATTCGCCGCCATTCTACTCTTTAATTATACGATGACTCAATTCCACTCTTATTAATGTCACTCGACTGTAGGACTAGCATACATTGTGTTAGCATAATCTGCATTGTTCTCATTCTTTTGTTTATTTTATAGGCCCCATAAATGAGTCTGGTCGCCTAACATCTGTGGTGAGTGCCTTTGGCCCAAACTTGCAAACATCAAATCTCCTGCCTGGACCCGTAAATTCCGCGAGCGGGCTCTCTCTGCTGCCCCAAATGCCAGAACGACCTGCTCTTCCCATCGCACCTCCGCCTCCTCCCGGTCCTCCACCTCCTCTACCTCCAATTGGCGCAAATTCAATGGCTTCGGCAATAACAACTCAATCCTTCCAGAGTATTCCTCACTCGCCCTTGTCTAGCCCTGGACAGGCACTGACGTCGACCGACTCTATGCCGCGCTTCGTCAGCGCATTGCCAGCTCCTGCCACTGGGTCTTCCGTCTGTTCATATTCTGCCACTAGCCGATCCTACCGACCGAATGAAATTTCCCCTCATGAGGCCTGCCAAATGGGGACGAGAACGACAGCAGGTGGATCTTTTGGACTATCTTGCCTTCCTGAGCGGAAAGCCCGTGATGTCTCGATACCCCGAGTAGAAGTTGAAGATCCCCAGAAGAGTCCATTAATTCCACCTCCTTTGCCACCAGCGCCTAGCAGACATGTCCCTGGGTAAGTTTAGATGCGATCCCTGCCTCCCCATCTATTAAATTTGCTAGTTGTACACTTTTTATACTTTTTGATCGATTTCATTATATTTCTAGTCATTGTTATACCAAAATTACTTACTTTTGTCCTTTATTTCCCAACTTCATAATTAGCATATGCATTTACTCTTTAATTCTTGGTCTCTTTATTTAGTGTCACTTATCCTTCTCAAATGCCCAAGGGACCTTTTGATTTGGCCTCTTGCGACTTCAATGAGACTTCACTTCCTCCTCCCCCACCATTGCCAAAGAGATTGGCCACTCGGAAATCGGTATACGTCAAATGCTAAAGTTGCTTTTTCTTATTTTTCGTAATTTGCTTTTATCGCATGTCATTTTTGCCGACGATTAATGTATTGCCATTTAGGTCCTTTTTTATTACTTTTTTTCAATATCGCTTTACATAAATCTTTGCCCATACGTATAGATTATTTTTCTTTAATTAGCTACGCTAAAATGAATTTTACCTCCTTGAAACTTTTCATATTCTGAAGGATACCGCATTTAAATATACTTTATTTTGGTTTTTGCTTGATCATGTGTTGATAGGTTATATATTTTTGCTAGACATACTCAAGAACCAAATTAATTACCATACCAATATTATATCATAATTTAGCTCTTAACTAACAGTCAAATCTAATTACCCCATTTTGCAGAATATGATAATTCATAACTCCTTTCGATTAATGTGATCGTGCTTTCTTCACTATCTTCTTGTTTTACATCCAAGACACTTGTATTGCTATGTCTTATTCATATTTTTCACTTACAATTGTACTCCTCAAAAAACATTTTCGGCAACTGCTCTTAAATTTTTAATATTTATTGGACTCTGTTTAGAATCTTTATTGTACCTTGTTCTAAACTAAGACCAGATTCGGAAAGTCTATTTGTCTATGCTATAGCTATAACCTTTATTGGAAAGTTGAAATAGGAGTGCCCTACTTCGGCGTACATACCAGTGGTTCAAATTCCGTTTCTATTCTGTTTTTGTCTCATTTTCTTCCTCTACCTCTATATTCGACTACCTTTTGATTGTGGCATAATTCTGACACTTAATCTTGTGATTTCTTTGTAAAGATTATGTTCTTAATGCTTCATTATATTTATTGTATTATCGTTAAAATTTAAGAACTCTTTTTATTTGTCTTGTGCCTAGATCTAGGCTTTATGCTATTTTACTAGTGTCACCTATATAACTTAAATTGAGCCACCTGATCTAACGAAATTATTTGGATTTTTATGCAAAATTAGATAGGTTTTTGATTGCATATTTAAAATCTTTTAATGTAACTAACTTTTTTATTGTAGGTGCAGCCAAGGCTTTAACGAACATCTTCCATTAGTATGGAGACTTGTAAATTGTATTCTGACGAAAGAGACTCTAGCTTCTCATCTCCGTCATTGCATCGAATTTTACCTTCAAAACCATTTTCTGCTTTTACACAGATATAGCCTACTAGCGCTGCCTTTTCTCCTTGATACTTGAGATTTTTAACGTTCTCAGATCCGAGGTTATCTGAGTAGACCCACTTTTATACTTACCCTATTTCATTCAACTATTTTGCTCATCCAGAGTATTCATATCCATATTTGTATCACCTATTGGTATTTGTTTCAAGCTTGTTGGAGAAGGATACTCACTAACTTAAAGTGGAGCCAAAAAGTATTTTACATTTTATAAATGATCTGAACCTGGTTGCTCTACTTTTGCTTCTCAGTTTTATTAATTTTGCTTTATCACACTATTAGTTTTACACCTTTAGTGCCTGGATTTTCATACTTTACTTATCCAGCTCCTATTCCGTCGCGCATTTTATATTATCAGGTAATCGGTCAAAATATCTAGCTCATTTGCAAACCTTAATATGCTTCTTTTATCTTATCCACATGTGCATACTTATCAATTACTGTGCTATCCCGTTAAGGCGCGGGTCTTTGCTTTTTATTTTATTTTCTAATATAATTCACTCATCTTTCACTCCAAGTTCCGGTCAAATTTCCGGCTGCGGCCCTATATCCATTCCATGATCCAACTGCCTTTTTTCTTGTTAACTTACTTATTTACGCTTATTTACATTATTTTGTTACTTCGCCAATAGAATGTATGTGCATTTTGAAATTTTTTAATGCGTCTTTTACGAAGCCAGACTACTCTGATATATAATTGTGTACGTTGGTTGGTTGAGAAGATTTATCTAAGTATACTTTTATTTATATAACACTCAAATAAGAATTTAGACAACTTAGATCATTTAGAGTTAATTAGGGACTAATAGTGGACTTTTTCACAATTATAGAAATACAACTAACGATGTCATTTTATTCCAGTTGCCTTGGGAAAGATTTTATTTAAGAAGTATTCTCCCTATTACGTTTAAAATAATGAAGGACTGGTAGTAAAAATTTCCCACAATTATATGAGTAGAGTTGAGTTTTCCATTAAATTTCACAAATTTCACATATCTCTGTGAGAAAATTCTACCACCAGTCCTTCGTCACCTTAAACATAATAGAGTGAATACACCTTATAGAATTGATTTACTGGTAGTCTCGAAACTAT